GGGAGCTGCTTCCAGACTGGAGTCAAGGCCTTTCCCACAAACCCCTTTGGGATGGAATGGGATACTTGCCATGAAGTGTGGGAACAGATGTAGGATCCACAACACACTCACCCAGCGGACCCCACAAAGAGAGAGGGAGAGGGCCTCTCTTTGGCCATCAGCCAGGACTGTGTCCCTAACCTTACTCAGGGCCCTGTGGGGTGGGCTCAGACTGTAAACTCCTTGCAGATAGGAATCCTCTTGGGAATCTGGTGCCTTGCACAGAGACTTGGGAAATGACCTGCCCATGCCCTGGCACTGGTTTTAGGCAGAACTGTGGCCATGCCACAGGCAAGTGATGTAATAGGATTATATGACCTCAGAGTCACGGAGGAGTCAAACAAGATGCTCTGTGTAGAAGTGCTTGGCCCACTGCCAGGCAAGAGGCAACACTGCATGGATGTTAACTGCCATCCTTGGAGAGGGACTGTCCACGTGAAGGTCACGGCTATGACCTCAGCCAGATCAACTGTGCCAGACGTCTCCACGAGAGCATCCAACCAGCTGTTCAGGTGCCATCTGCGGCCCCACCTCTGAAGCCTGGGCTCTGCCTGAAATGTCAATCAAAACCTTGATAAAGTTATATAATGTACAGGTGCGTGAACTAGCTGAAGAGGGATGTTCCAAGTCTGGCTGACACACGGAGAGGCTGGACTCCCTACAATATCAACATGAGGCCCCACCGAAGACAGTAAGATGGGTTCTAACAGTCTCTTGTGTCCAAAGAGAAACATGGGAGGGCTGTTCCAGCCACCTCTGAAAATGCTGGGCTTGTGTGCAACTGGACACGAGGTTATGAGCAGATGGCCTCTGGAGACAGGCATCACTCCCACAGCCCGACAGCCTCAAACACGGTGGATTGTGAAGTTATGTGTCGTACGAGCTGATCTGACTGAAATTCTAATTCCAGAAGTGAGTCATGGACTTGGCACCAATACTGTGGGTGATGTGCACATGAATGGTTTTTGCTGTTGTTTGTAGTGACCAAAAAAACTGGAAACCACCAGAATGTCCAACATTAGGGGCATGGTTGAAGAAATTGATATACACCTCTGTTTAAGAATAAATTAAACCTGTGTCTTTTGACCTAGAAGGAGTTTTACAATGTCTTGTTAAGAGAGAAAATCAAGTTGCACAGTATTTAATGCACTGAGAATAATCCCATTTAATAAAAGGATAAAAGCCCATCTAAGTGTATAAACATTTGCATATGTTTGTGCAGGGGTGGAAGGGTATGGAAGGATACACAACTGAAGGAGTAGGGAGAGATTATTAGCTTTTCCTTTCTCTTCATTTTTTTTTATTTGGAGATTTCAAATTTACAGAAAAGTTGCCAAAATTAAAAGTGGTACAAAGAACCCTTATATATCCATTGTCAAGATTCATCTGCTGTTAACATTTTATCCTTTAGCTTTATGATTTATACATGTTTCCTGCCCACCCTTCACTTACTTGCAATTTCTACACACACACACACACACACACATTTTTTTTTGCTGATACATGTGAGGGTTAGTTACATACATCATGGTCATTCACCCCTAGACTCCAGAATGTATTTCCTAAGAACAAAGAGGTTCTATTACATCACCACAGCACAGCCTTTGGCTTAAGGAATTAAACACTGATACAAACTATGTTCTCTGATCATGAGAATTAAACTAGAAATCAGTAACAGAAAGACAGATGAAAACATTCCCCCAAGATATGGAAACTAAAAGACTTGCTTCTAAATGATCCAGGAGTCAAAGAAGAAATCATGAGAGAAATGAGAGAACAGTTTGAATTTAACAATGTTAAGTAATACAATCTTTGACCTAATCCACCGATTACACTCGTATAATTCTTCATGTCCTTTGCATGTGATTTGACACTACTGTACGACCAACTGGCGTAAGCAGAATTTATCTCCCCCGCTCTAACTGAACCGAGGATGGGAAGCATGACTTGCTTGAGCTGAAGGAAAGGGGGCTGAGTGAGAATGTGCCGGTTCCTGACCAAGGCTTGACATTTTGGCGAAATGTAAACATATGAGCAATCCCTGGGCTGGAAAGATCCCTTGGAGAAGGGAATGGCTACCCACTCCAGTAGTCTTGCCTAGAAAATTCCATGGAGAGAGGATCCTGCTGGGCTACAGTCCATGGGACCGCAAAGAGTCGGGTATGACTGAGCATGCATGTGCACACATTCACACACACATACACAAAGAAAGACACAAGCAGTATATTTGCTTTTCAGCCACCACTTATCTTCAACTCAAAATTCTCTCTCAAGATGACACGAACTAGCAGGTGTCACTCAGAGTGCAGATCAAGTCTGTCTGGAATCCCTGACATTTCATTGCAGAAGAATGAGACAACAGGTCCATCCGTGGGGACACACACACACCTGTGGCTTGTATGTACAGCTGTCGGCTCTTCCTTGAGCTCTGGGTTGGAAAAACCCATTAGTTCAGTTCAGTTCAGTCATGTTCAACTCTTTGCGACTCCATGGCTGCAGCATGCCAGGCTTCCTGTCCACCACCAACTCCCGGAGCTTCCTCAAACTCATGTCAGTGATGCCATCCAACCTTCTAATCCTCAGTTGTGCCCTTCTCCTCCCACAGTAGTATATATAATGGTCATATGAGTCAAATTCGCCCATTCCAGTCCATTTTAGTTCACTGATTCCTAAAATATTGATGGTCACTCTTGCCATCTTCTGCTTGACCACTACTAATTTACCTTGATTCAAGGACCTAACATTCCAGGTTCCTATGCAATATTGCTCTTTACAGCATCAGACTTTACTTCCATCACAGTCACATCCACAACTGGGTGTTATTTTTGCTTTGGCTCTGTCTTTTCATTCTTTCTGGAGTTAGTTCTCCACCGAACTCCAGTAGCATATTGGGCACCTACCAACTTGGGGAGTTCATCTTTCAGTGTCCTATCTTTGTGCCTCTTCATGCTGTTCATGGAGTTCTCAAGGCAAGAATATTGAAGTGGTTTGCCATTCCCTTTTCCAGTGGACTACGTTTTGTCAGAACTCTATACCATGACCTGTCTGTCTTGGGTGACCCTACATAGCATGGCTCATAGTTTCATTGAGTTAGACAAGGCTGTAGTCCATGTGATCAGTTTGATTAGTTTTCTATGATTGTGGTTTTCATTCTGTCTGCCCTCTGATGGATAAAGATAATACATTTATGGAAGATTCCTGATGGGAGAGACTGACTGAGGGGGTCACTTAAGCATTAAAACAGATACACTCAGAGAGTAGAATATGACACACCTGTAATGTTAAAAACCTAAATCTTAAGGCCAAGTGTACATCAGATGACAGCTGGCCCCTCCCAGTCTGCTGGGGGTCCCTGGAAGGCCAGGCTGGGGAAATGCTGGTGCTAACTCTCTGAAAGGGAAGAGGGTGAAAACAGCCCAGAAGACCCCTTTAAAATTTTTTTAATTGAAGGGTAATTGCTCTACAGAATTTTGTTTTCTGTCAAACCTCAACATGAATCAGCCATAGGTATACATATCTCCCCTCCCTCTTGAACCTCCTTCCAGAAGACCCCCTTCTTGAAGGCTGATCATTGTTGCCCTGGGAAACCTGGTACCTGAGTGACCCCATGTATCCAGCCTGGGTCTCGTGGGGGGAGGGGAAAGGCGCTGGCTCCTTGGGAGCCCCAAGCCCATCCCACTTATCAGAAACAAGCAACAGGACAGCCTCAGATTTCCACTTGGGGAAGACACACACATTTCCCTTGAATGAAGGGATTCCAGCTCCCTCTAAGCACAGATTCGAGAACAGAGGTCCTGGTGTACAAGGATCACAGATGCAAAATTTTACATGTGCAGAGCTTCCTTTGCATTCTCAAAGGGATTTGTGTCCCACCACCCCCCAAAATAAGAACTAGCTCTTAAGAGAGTTGGAAAGCAAACTGGTTAGACTGGCCATAGGTTGTCACAAGAAAATATTTTATTTGAGAACATCTGATACTGTGGGAAGCATTTCTACTAAATCCAAAAGCACCCGACTGATGGTCCACTTCCACTCCCCACAAGCCCACCAACAGCCTCGGCTGGCAGACGCGAGGTGTGTCTGTCCATGGCTGACCCCTCCCACCACTGCACACCTCTGTCGGGGGCACAATTAAACGGCAGGCTGCCCAGCTCCTCCAGCCCCAAACTGACCTCACTTCACAGGACAGGAGAACAGCTCCCAACTTCCAGGCCGGGGCCTCAGCCGGACATGCTCAAAGGAGAAAGGTGAGGCGAAGTCACACACCAACACTGTGACCAAAGTCAGCACATGCCCCGCTCTGGGGACAGCACAGCCAGGTTGGGGCCAGCTGGGCCAGCGTGTGGTCGTCACCAGGACAGCACAGGGCCTCAAGACACAGCAGGGACCTTGGACTGCAATCACCCTGCTCACTTTAAATGGGACAGGACTTCTCTCCTCAGGAACATCAGCTCAGGCCTTTCTGGCTCAATGGGCTATTGGCTGAAGGTCTGCACACCTGTCAGTCTTGGCAGACCTTGGGAGTCCAAGGTGCGGGCAAAAGTCTGTCCAGTGACTATGCTGACAAGGCACTCACCACTTACGCCTCCACCCAAGCCCCTCAGCTTCGCGGAGCTCAGAACCTGCAGTGGGTGAGCACCTGCCGCTGGGCCTCCTGTTGGCCCTTTCCTCCAAACGCGTGTGCCGTGAAGAGCCGCGCTCACGTCAGCCCTCTCCTCCAAGCGCGTGAGCCGTGAGGAGCTGCGCTCACGTCAGCCCTCTCCTCGAAGTATGAGCACCGTGAGGAGTCGCACTCACGTCAGCCTAGTCAGCCCTCTCCTCCAAGTACATGCACCCCATGAGGAGCTGCGCTCACGTCAGCCCAGTCAGCCCTCTCCTCCAAGCGCATGCACCCAGTGAGGAGCCACGCTCACGTCAGCCCTCTCCTCCAAGAGTGTGCGCTAGGAGGAGCCGCGCTCACGTCAGCGTCGTAGACGCAGAAAGAACGCGTGCTTACACTCCGTGCTCTCCAGGGGGTAATACTTGTCATAAAAGTCTAAGACGTACTCTTCCGTCTTGAACCCGAACTTCTGGTAGAGCAGCATGGCAGGGTTGCTGGCGGAGACATGCAGGGTCACGTCCTTGCCCATGCACGTCTGCAAGAATGGAGAAGCACACAGTGAGAATGAGAGGGCCTCGGGGAAAAGGAATGGATGGAGAGAGTCCCTGACGTGCAGGCAGTCAGGTACGGAGGCTGGAGGAGTCTGGCCTGAGGCTGGGGCGCGGAACCACCAGCCAGCGCCAGTGCGGGGACCCAGGCCCGCTCGGCCGTGGCCAAAACCCTCGCTGAATCGTTCCAGACTGAGGAGGTAGACGGTAAGCTGATTGAATGTTTTTTCCAGTTTTTAATGAAACTTGCTCAGTAATTCCCACATGTTGGTGTCTGTCCACCTTTGATGAGGCCTCTTAGTTTAGGAAGCTTTAAGGACCCTGGGGTTGTAAAACCTCCAGTTTTTTCTCTCTGGAGCAAAGAGCCACCGGGGATATTCCATTGCCAGCTGTTTTATAATTCAGTTACATTTAAGTTTTTCCAGCGTAACAATACCAGACACTACGACAATCTTGAAACAAGGGATGAGACCAGACGTTCTGTTTTTAAAAACTAGATGTCATCCTGCAAGACAGTCATAAAGGCTCCCTGCCTGGACCTACTAGGAAAGATGTCAAGTTATGTGACCGGGTATGAAACCTCAAGACTTCTGTTTAATTATACAAGCTGGGTACCCCCAGGGACATTCTGAATCCCAAAGAACCCCTCAGCACTCCCAGACTTCTCAGAACTGAGGTTTCTTCATGCAGCACCAGCCTTATCCCGTGGGGAAGAAGAGGGGTGTCTGTTCTACTGAAGCTAGGCAGGTTCTCAGACTCTAATTAGCCACACAGAAGATAGCACCGGAAGTTTCATAAACTCAGAATTGGCTCTTCAGTGAGGAGATGCTAAGATTGTGGACTTCATGAATCCGGGAGGTTTTACAACCCCAGGGTCCTTAAGGCTTCCTATACTAAGAAGACTCATCAAAGGTGGACAGACACCAACATGTGGGAGTTATTGAGCACGTTTCATTAAAAACTGGGAAAAAACATTCAATCACCATCTCCTATTTAAAAAGAATCTTGCCCACATGACACACAATGCTCCATACTGAATGGCTTCTAAGTAAGTCACCAGATGAATTCTGGGGTAAAAAAAAACCTTGCCTGTGTTTCTGGTGTTAGTATACATATATATATATATATATATATATATATATATATATGGTTTATCTTCCTCAAAGGTGATACAGATACATCAAAGGATGGATTACTTAGAAGGTTCACAGCAGCTTACACAGTGAAAGTAAAACTAAAAACAAGCAACAATAACAGAATGTACCTACTACTGATAGCATGAGTTTTTTTTTTTGTTTTGGTCATGCTAGGTGGCATGCGGGATCTAGTTCCCCCACCAGGGATGGAACCCGCACCCCCTGCATTGGGAGTGCAGTCTTAATCACTAGACTAACAGGGAAGTCGCTGATAAATCGTTTTGTTAAAATGTTTAACAGTACTTAAGAACTAAAAATTACAGGTTCACCCCCACTTCTCAGAGTCACCGCAGTGGTGACTCCCAAGACCAGAAGCAGTTACAAGATGGATGGTCCGGGACTTCCCGGGTGGTCCAGTGGCTAAGACTGCATGCAACCAATGCAGGGGGCCCGGGTTCGATTCCTGGTCAGGGAATGACCAGGAATTTGATTCCCATGTGCTGCAACTAAAGTTTGCTGCAATGAAGATCAAAGATCCCACGTGCTGCAAGTAACACCTGGTGCAGCCAAATAAAAACTAATTTAAAAAAAAGATGGTCTGAGTGTTGCAGGCTCTCACCTCTGTACTTGCCTCATTTTATTTATTACACATGTCCACAAACTGATTTCTTTGAAACTTGGGTTTAAGGAGTGACCTCTTTGGGGGTGAGGCTTCTGTCTGGGCGTAAATAACCTTGTGGACAACAGAGCTGGCTCCCCTTCACCTGGTATTGCCTGGCTCTGGCCCTGTCCCCACTCCAAGCCTTTCAGGGCAGCTCAAGGCAGGTGGGCAGACAGTAAGCAGAGACAACATACCTGAATCAGATGATAAATCATGAAAGTTGCGATCCCCGCTCTTCTCCAGTCAGGATGGACAAACAGAAATGAAATATAAGCTTCATTGTACTTCACGTCGGGGACCATGAAGCCGAAGGCTATGATGACTTTCTTATAGAGGACGACGACGCTGAAGTCAGGGTACTGCAGGCACTCGGACAGGTCGACGCCTACAGAGAGAGGCGATCAGAGTCAGCCCAGGCTCTGGGATGAGTGAGCGGCAGGCTGTTCAGTCTGTGCTTCAGCTGCACCTGCCTGCTAAAAAGACCCAGACTGCAGACAGAGATACCACTGCAGATGCCACACATAAATACCAAAATTAGCACCGTGTGGTCTGTGTACATATGTTAAAAGAAGGGAAGCAGAACAGGGTGGGTAGGAGAGAGCACGCAGGCTGGAACTGGACACACCTGGCTTTGTGCTTGGCCTCTGGGCCATGTGCGCCAGCTGGCACTTACCCCAACGCCCTGCCTTGGGAATCTGCCTCAGGTGAGATGAGAGATACCCAGACCTGAAGGGAAGATCTGAGACCGCCCAAATCGTTGTGGTCTTTACCTCATATACAGACCACTGATAAGCTCTTTGGTACACATGCCACTTTTTATAATAAAGGAGTTAAATATCACATAATTCCACACTTATTGTTTGGAAGCCACCTCACACAGGGGCAGGAAGAAGCAGACACTCCCAGAATGTTTCTTTCAGCCCCATCCCACCCCCCACCACATGCACTGACATCCTGACAAAATTTTATCCCCTAGAAGACGTATTGTTTCCTTTACATTTCAAAGCAGAGCCACAAAGAACATACTTATATTTAGCAATGAGGGAGTGTTCCTTTAATCAGTGACTTCAGAGACTATATATAATATGGTAAGGCTGATAAAATGACAAATCGCATGGGTCTATTATTTTCAAAGTCTGTGATTGGGGTTTTTGGCTTTTTAAAAACAACTTTTAGCTGTACTAACACTAAGGACCAGTTAAGTAAACAAAGCACACAGAAATTATTAAGCAAACATCAAAAGTGTCCAGACGCACCCAAGCCACCAGCCTGTGGTGCTGATGGGTATAACCTGGGATCTTGATGCATGTGGGAGAAAACTGGGTGAACCGTTTCTTCTGAAACCAGAGACAAACAGGGAAGAGGAACAAACGGCACTGTTTATTGCTTTAACTGCTTGCTTCTTCCCGATCTTAGGAAAGAAAGAAAGAGATGTTCGTATTTTAAACTGTCTATATAAGCAGAGACAAACTGAGTGAAACCATATGAGTAAAGGTTTTGGGGTCACATGACACACACTAGTTTTAAAAACTGCTGAAGTGAACAATACGGAAGGTGGATCTGCTGAGCTTGGATAGGGAGAACATACCAGGCCAGAAAAACTCCTGACACATGGAGTTTATGGTTGGGATGTGATTTGGCCGGACATAGCAGTAATCGAGAGGGGCATCTGGCTCCGGCATCCAGTGCGGGTCCCCCCTGTGTTGGTGAGAGCGGATCTGGGAGAGCAGCTGCAGTTTGGGTGGCTTTGTTTCGTAATCACGCCTCCAGAACCCAGAAAAGAAACACAGAAGACAAGGAAAATACCCATTACTCCCAGTCATTTGATTCACAATGCTCCTTGATCTGCTCAAAATTTTAAATTAATTCACACTGCTTTCTACGTCAGCCAACTTAAGAGCTACAGCATTTTTCTGGTATGACACTTAAAATGATCTCTACTAACATTCGTCAGACCAGACCTGTTGGAACCTGCCAGGAAGTCCACTAGTGCTGGTGAGCCTTAATATGGACTGTGGAAACAGAAACGGCTTCCTAATTCCACCCTCTGACCCAGGACAGAGCCTGGGGAGGAAGGCCCAACTACGCCTGGACAGCTGGGGACCCCAGGGCAAGGAGCAGGCTCGTATGCTGACTCATGGGTCTGCCTGGGGGGACGATAGGGGGCTGGGCCAGGAGGACACGTGATGGGTGGCAGAGATAACTGTCAGTCATGCACAGCCCAGTGCGGGTGGGGGTGGGAACTCTCTGGCCAGCTCGCTGTCCAGGTGCTGCCTACATGGGAAATTCATCATCAGTCCACGGACAGGTCCCACTGTCCCACTGTTTCCTTTTGCAGACAACTATGTACAATTTGAAATTTAACATAAAACAATGAATATGATAATCAGAATGAAATCTCACAGAGTTGACTTATCCTTGCCTTGTATATTTCTTTCAAAGGGACCAACCCAACTTTTCTGCAATAATGTACAGTTGAAACAAGCTGTATATCGTTTCAGGAGGAGACTAGACACAGAGCAGAGGCCTGGTCCTTGCCGATGCCAGTTCACAGATCTGGGGGGGATGGGGCTGGCTCAGAACCCACAAGCATCACTGCTCGTGCCACACCCAGTGTCACAGTTCTCCTCTGTGTACCTGATGTAGGGTTTCAGGATCCGAGACGTGTACGGGCTGACGATGCTCTGGTCCACAGCCATATCTTCTGATCCCACCAAACGGTACAGAAACTTTGTGCTCTGGTGCCGGAATCCTTTCCTGGATGGCAAGGCAGTCTGTGAGAAAGACAGGCCAGTTATACCAAAATAAAATTACTCAAAGGGCTGGTTCCATTTCTACAGATGAGTAGTACTTAGGACATTTTTATGTGTCAGAAAGTAGGTCTTTCCGTAGGACTTAACTGGAAAATTTAAGGTTCAAAAAAACTTCATAGGTACCTTTGTATAAAACTGGATATGAAAACCTAATTCCAGTTTAAAAATAGTTTAAAGGCAAAATAATTAAAAATATTAAGTTACATATAGCTTCTCCAAGTTTCATGTTGTCTATAAGGCACCTTGAATCCATTCATCAAATATCAGGCATCAAGTGGGTCACACACACACACACACACACACACAGCTCCTGTCTCATGAAGGATCTCTGTTACCATGGCAGAAATCACTGCTGCATGTGTATATGGATTTATTACAGTATGTCTCTACTGAGTAAATCTCACAAAAGTAGGACTGACATAGATTATTATCCCTACAACACAGTGTGAGTGGAGAGGACTGACCAAAGGGTCCAGGGGACATGGTCCCTGCTCCCCACAGGCCTGCAGACGCCTGCTGTCCACATAGGGCTGCTTAAGGGCCCTCGGTCACATCGTAACAGAACACGGACAATTAGGTTTCATAGCAAAGAGCTCAGACAGAAGATTAAAAAGTACATTTACAAAGCGGTCTGCCAGGGGTTGGATGAAGTTTAGAAACCTGAGTTGTTTTTGTAGAATCAGCTTGCTTTGGCCTAGAAAATAACTTTGTTGGGAGAAGAGCATGAATTCCTTCCTTAATAATTTTGCTTTGATTACTTTCCCAAACTGGACACCAAAACTTTCAGAGGCCAACCAACTCTGAAATTCTGCCAGGACTTTGAGTTTTCAAGTGAAATTCAAACTTGGGGTACACAGTTTCCAAGTATAACCCATGTTTCCTCCTGAGCCTGAAGGCACACTCATCTCCTGTATCAAAAGACAAAGTCAATGTCCCCTCTTCTGGAACCTGGCAGGCCTGAGGTAAGCCTGACCGGTCAGAACATGGCAGAAGTAATAACATTCTGGGACCTCTGAGCCCAGGCCGTAAGGGAACTGGTGGCTTCTGCTTCCTTCCTCCTCGAGTCCAGCTGCTGCGGTGCCCAGGTGGGACACTGAAGGGCTGGTGGCCACATGTAAACAGGCTCTAGCGGACCAAGCTCCAGCTAAGCGGAGCCACAAGATACCCCTTCCTTCAGCTCATGAAGCAGAAGAAATACCCAACTGAACCCAGTCAACCCACAGACTCAGAAGAATTAGTTATTGTTCTAAGCTACTAAGTTTTGGGGTGGTGTGCAACATGAGAAGAGGTAACACCAGCCACCAAGCCTACGAACAGCGTCAAGTCAGCATGTGGACGTGAGGTCTGTGAGAACCCCAGATATGCACAGTCCTCACCCTGTCTGTCTCCCCAGCTTCCACACCAGTTTAACTATCCTTCGCTTCTGCCTGGTCCACAAACTACCCCTGCCCTCTACAAGGCTCCTCCCTACCACACTCATGCCACCCCATCCATCTCCACACAAGGCCAGAGCCTACTTTTAAAAACTAATAAAAGTCACCTTCCTGGTCTGAAACTCCTACGTGGCTTCCAGCTGTGCATTCAGAATACGACGCAGACTCCTGTCCCACGCCCTGCAGGATCCACACCCCACTGACCAGGTCCACAGTCCACCACCATCAAGACATTCCCACCCCATGTGCCAAATGAAATCCTGCCTCGGGGCCTTCCTGCCCTGAACCTTCCTGGATGGGCTCCTCCTGTGGATCAGGACATGGTTCAAGCATCACCTCCACAAAAGGTGCAGTCCACCCCCAACCCCCGCGGCACTCACTTGGAGGAAACATCCCTGCTGGTTGAGTACTGTCATCTCCCTGCTCCTGGTGTCAGAGACATCCTCTGTCTTAAGTCACTGTCTAATCCACAGCCAGGCCCTAACTCCTTTCAATTCCATGAAGGCTGAGAGGTGAGGAAGCTGCAGAAAAAAAGTCTGAAGCCTGGCTTCAGGCTTCAAAGCTTCAAAGGACAGGCTGACTCTTTTTTTTTTTTTTTTCTCTTAGGCTGACTCTCTTATGAGGAGGGGCTACTGCAGCTGGTGGTGGTAAGCTGAAGCCAGTGCTCACTCACCATCTGATTTATGCTCCGTCTATACAGCCTGTGCTCTGTAAATGGAACAACAGAGCCTGGATGACAGCACATCTGTTTTCAACATGGTTTTCTGAATACTTTAAGCCCACTGCTGAGACCCACTGCCAAAACTGAAAAGCAGAGAGGAAAAAAAAGGCCAACCCCCCCCACCCCCAGAAAGGAACAGAATATCTAAAAACTGTGGCATAACTACTAAAAGTGTAATATATGCATAATGGGAATAGCAGGAGGAGCACATAGGACACAAGAAATACCTGAAATGGTAACAGCTGAGAATTTCCCCACGTTAATCAGACACCAAACCAAAACCACAGATCCAAGCAGCTCACAGAATGAGGAGGATACATGCTAAGAAGCCTATCGGTCACCTGTAACAAAAGGGCAGAGGTGCCAGGCAAGATAATGCGAGCAAAAGCACTTAAAGTGTGTGAATACAAATAAATATCAAAAACAAAGAGAAAACTGAAAGCTACCAGGGCATAGGAGAATAAGAGAAGACCATCTATAAAGAAGCAAGCATTAAGAATGACAATGCAGCTCCAGGAACAAGCTGATAGTGAGATGATGATGCTGTGGTGATGCTAAATGTCAACAGGAAAAAAAAAAAATGACAATTTTATATCCAGCTATACTATCACTGAAATGCGAGAGTGAGGATATTCTGAACCTCAAAAGGACCACATTTTAAGAATTGTTACAAAAAATGCTTCAGCAAGAAATTAACCTGGAAGAAATGATGGGAAGTGAGGCTGAATGAAAAGTTTAAGTTTAGTGAGGTTTACTGTCAACTAAATAAGGAACACAATGGAAAAAAGAAAAATGAGAGCAGGCAGAGGTAGCTTTTTGTTTGCAGGGCGAGGATCACATGGTAATATTAAAAAAATAATACAGAAAAAGAAATACATGTCTTAAGTTAGCACCTATAAAAAGAATAAAAGTGGAACATATGATTTTCTCTATAGAAAAGAATCAACGTCACATAGACTATTTTCTCTGACTACAATATAATCTGATTAGAAATTAAATCAATTACTAAAAGATAGTATAAAAATTCTCACGTATCTGAAAACTAAGAGTTATTTAGCACTAACTCTTGGGTTAAAGAGGAAAGGCTAACAAAAATTGCAAAACACTAAATACTGAACTATAAAAAAAGTCACATCATTTCAAAAGTCATGAGTAATGGCTAAAATATCACAGGGACAGTTACAGCTATGAATATACTGATCAGAGGACAAGATGACAAGTGGACTGAACAAACACATTTACGGCTGCTCCCCTATGTAACTGTATTAAAGTGATGCTAATATTCCAGGTTAAGATGGGGGATGATACACAAACATTTAATTTTACTTCTTCCCAAAACTCCACAACTATAGAAATAGACTTTAAAAATAAATAAATAAAAGACAAACACACAAGAACAAAAAGATCAAAAGAAACCACAGTAACTGGGGAGCAAATAGATAAAAATTAAGAGAGTTCAAGCCAGAATCTGGAGCTGGCTTTGGGTGAATGAGAACCAGCCCAACCTGTACTGCAGACTCCTCTTACAATGCGGGTGGCAGCACAAGTTTCGTCTGGAACCAGGAATAAGGCAGGCAGAGAACTAAGGTGCAGGTTAAAGCTGTGTGCAGAGCAGTAAGACCCCTCAGCAGGGCTGTGCTCTCTGAGACTCCAAGGGACAACCTATGCCAGGCCCTTCTCTCGGCTCTGATGTGGCTGCAAGGCCTGTGCCCCTCAGCTCTGCAGACACACCGCTCGAACTGCTGCCTGGGCCATCACAGGGCGTCTCTCCTGTGTGGCTCTCCTGTTCTTGGAAGGACACCAGTCATGCTGGGCTAAGGGCCCACTTTGCCCCATGCAACCTCAGCTTAACTACTTATATCTGCAAAGGCCCTATTTCCACGTGAGGTCACATGCACAGGCACCAGGAGTCAGGACAATACACACTTTGGGGGACACAATTCAGTCTGCATCAGTGACCCGCAAAACCCATTAAGCCTGTCTTCTTCCGGAAGCCTTCAACTAACAGCAGCAATGTCCTCACATGGCTCCATCCATTCTTCCTACACTGTTTATGGATAAAGAGTTTAAAAAGGCAAAGGGAATGGTTAACACTAAAGGTCAGAGTCACTTCCTCTGGGGGAGCAGGCAGTCTGCAGAATTAAGGTGGTTTTAATGCCTGTTTCTTAACCCAGGAGCTAGATTCATAGTTATTGATTTAATTAACCTCTAAATATACCCATATGTGTTCTTGTATGGGTATGATGCCTTTCATAATTTCAACAGTTAAGTATAGGGATTAAAAGGAACAAAGAACAGGTGAGCAGATGACAGCAACAAAAGCATATGAGTAAGTGGCAATTGACTAAGACCAGGAGAGCCCAAACCTAAGGTGGCCATGAGGACAGGCCAGACCCAGTGCCTCAGGTCAGCAAGGCAACAGGGACATCAGGTCCAACTGAAGCTGAGGGCGGGCAGGGGGCCATGGACTGAGGGTCTCTTGAGTCAAGAGGTATTAAAGCTCCAATGACACTTCTGCAATCCACATACAGAAACAACCTCTCCCTTCAGGGCAGACCAGACTTTCTGGAGGCTCCAATGAGAGATTCTGATGTAGCCAAGGGTGGAAGTTCTGTCCAGAAAACAGGGAGGCCCAAGGGAAGTTTAACAACTGCATGGTCAGCCCCTGGCTCTCCCGACAATGTTCCTAAGATGCAGGCAGGCAGGTTACGGCTTCCCGGAAGGAGAAACAGGGAAAAGAACAGGGATCCAGCTGGAGTGAAGGTCTTTGGAAACCACAGAACCTGGAGACCGAATCCAGCCTGCTTTCGTCCATACTGTTCTGGCACACAGTGACGCCCTTTCATCACATGTCATGTATGCTGCCCTCATACTACACAGCAGAGCTGGCTAGCGAAGCTACAGCTACTTACTCTCTGACCCTTCACAGAAAAGGCTTGCAAACCTCTGGTCAAGAGGGTCCAATAGCCAAGTAACAGGAGTGCTACAAACAAACAGAGATAGATGCCAGGAAATTCCAGAACTCAACAAAGAGCATTTCAAATAGAAAGGCCCGTAGGCAAAGGCCTAGCACCGGGAAGAACAGCCCCACATGCAGTACAGTGCTGGGTAACCAGAATACCAGCAGCAAAGTCCACACCCCACCAGTGTCCAGAGAAGACAGGTAAAAGGCCAGACCACCACAGAAGACGACAGGAAAGAGTCCAAACAGTCCAGACACACAATGCACAACCAACCAGGAAACAGGGGAATGTTCTAACTTCACCTGTAATCAAAGAAATGCATCCAAAAAACAAACAAAAATAAAAAAGACTTCATTTTATAGCCATCAGAATAGCAAAACTAGTTAAGGAATGGTTAGCAGCACTGCCAGCAAGACACAGGGAGAGAGGCTGGCTGGCTCCTGCTATGGGAAGGCGGAGTCTGGCATTTGTGGTGGAATCACCTGTCCCTGGAGCACTCACACACCAGTGTCCTCCGGGCACATGGACACCATGCTGACCTGCTGCTCTTTCTGCAGGGTGTCTCCTAACTACACTGACAAAACCACGCCTTCACTCCTGCTCAGCTCAGTGTCCAGTACACTGGCACACTGTACATCCTCAACAAACCTGCCAACCAAAGCTACAACCCAGACCACGAGTAGCCGCCCTCGGAGACGTAAGAGACATGAAGAGAATGTCTAGGTTCTGTCTGGAATACCCAGAAGGAAAACAGAAACCCAAACTCAGATGTATTCAGGAATGTTCACATTGGACAATTAAACATTGCCCAGCCGTCTTTGCACTTCTTCCCTCACTGTTCTTCCACTCTCCTGAATGTACCAGGGAGCCGCAGTCCCAGGAGTTGGAGAGCGAGACAACACCCACCTGGTACCGGTCAAGGATTCTAAAGTCCTGACAGGTCGTCCTGTACGTGGCCTGTCCAGCTGGAAGCCTGGAAACTCCTCCGTCTTTGGCACCGTAAATTCCGTCCACTAACAGGAGTGCAGCATTCACGACCTGGTCCAGGTCAAAGAGTGGCAGCCCCCGGTCCCTCTTTGCCTGCCGGACGATCAGCTTCCGCTTTAGCCGCCGGGCCTCGGGGGTCATGGCCACGGCCCCAGGACAGGCCTCCAGCCGCCTGAGGAGCAGCTTCTCCTCATAGATGCTCACGGGGGTGAACTTGGGCCCCTTGGGCTTCCGGTCCTTCTCCAGCACAGGTTTCCTCTTCTCTCGCGCCCTCGTCTGCAAAGACGTGTTGGAGTCTGTGTCCTCACTGTCGATGTCCATCCTGTCGGGCTTCTCTTCCTCACTCTCTACTTCCTGCTTGATCTGCTCAGGGGCCCTGACCTTCTTTCTGCCCCCGAGCCCTGTCCCTGAGGCAGCCGTGCCGGCAGGGGGTGGGACGTACTCCATCCCAGGGTCTATGACACCGTCCCCTTCCATCTCATCGTCATCTGTGAGGAGCAGAAAGCAGGTAAGGAAATGTGGCCCCACCGCCCCCCAGGGAGAGCGCACCCACTCCCCGCAGGGCCACACAGGCCCTGAGGCCCCAGCACAGTGGCTCACCGTGAAACAAGGCCTGTGGCGGCATCACATCTGGAATGAGATCAGCTTCCGAAAGCAGGCTGGGCGTGGCTGAGTGAGAGGCCGGGGTCCCTGGGGCAGAGAAGTCCAGGGATGGCGAGGGTGATGGGCTCGTGAGCGGGGTGCGGTCCGAGGAACTCAGGGACGAAAAGTCGATGACTTCTCCCTTCTCCAGAATCACATCCGGCCTGCGGCCTCGGCTGATGAACTTTACAGGCGTGGAAGAGCTGCTCCGGTCAGCAAAGCCAGCCGCCTCCTTCTGGGCTCTCCTGATGTCCTTGGCTTCCTGAGTCCGAGACCTTTTCTCTTTCAGTTCCATGGCAGATTCCACAGGATTCCGACTCGCTCGCTTTCTAAGTCCCTCGACAGTGATGATGGGATCTAAAGTTGGTTTGGAGGCTGCTGGTGAAGAACAAAGGATCTAAATTTTTAAGTACCAATTCAGCGTTAGCTACTTTTAATAACTTATTGTGAATCTACTACTACCATAGAAAGAGAAATGTTCAATGAGTGCCCTGAACAAAGATTAAAATTTCTCTTAACCTGGAAAAAGGAATTATAATGCAAATATAAACACTTCCACAAGGTCTTTCACTTACTGGAACTGGTAAAAGTTAAAAGTTTAGAAACTGGGGTAGCTCAGGGATGATAAAGAATCTGCAATGCAAGAGGCCTGGGTTCAATCCCCGCATCAGGAAGATCCCCTGGAGAAGGGAATGGCAACTCATTCCAGTATTCTTGCTTGGAGAATTCCATGGACAGAGGAGCCTGGCGGGCTACAGTCTATGGGGTCACAAAGAGTTGGACACAACTGAACGACTAACACTAAAAGTTTGATAATGCTCAGAGAGCACAGGGGGAAACGGGTATTTTCATGTCTTTCGGTAGAGCAAAAGTTTATCACATCTTTTTGGAGGGTAATTTGGTAATATGACTAAAATTCTGAATAAATATATGCCCTTTGATACAACAACCTATTTCTAGCAATTTATCACAAAATATTGGCAAATGTATATAATTACAGTATTGTTTAAATAACAAAAATGATAGAAATAACCAAAATGTGCATCAACAAGGTAATGGTTTAGTTAAGTCATCATGCAGCTACTCAGTGAAATGCAATGAAATAAAAGAAACAGGATAGACCTACATGTACTGCTATGGAAAGATGGCCAAGATATACTGGTAAGTGTGGAAAAAATGGAGAAGAGGTAATATAGTATGAACCAGTTTTTTTTTTTTTAAAGAAAATGCTTACATATACAAAGAAGACTTCTAAAAGCACTCACAAGAGACAACAGTGGCTCTGCTGAAGTTAAGCTGTGGGAGGTGGGAGAGGGACTTTCAGACTTTATAGCTTCAATACTATGTGATTTATTCCTGGTTATATTGTTAAAAACGTAGAAGTTCATTATTAAAACAATTTTAGATTAAAAAAATCAGATCAATATGTGATAGTAAGGAGCTACTATTAGTTTTTTATAAGTGAGAAAATGCCATTATGGTGAGGCTACAGGAAAGAATCCTTATGGCTAATAATGAAATATTTAAGAAGGAACTGCTGATACCTGGAAGTTCCTTCTAAATAATCCAAGGGTGTGGATGGGTGGGGGGCTGGGAGGAAGCACCCAGGGGTCCAGATAAATGAGACAAAAGGAGATTTTCAGGGTTAACAGCTAAAGTGAAGACAAAGGTGTGAAGGGATTCACTACATGACTCTCTTCACATCCATATATATGTAACATTTTGCATACTAAAAAGTTTAAAAACATAAAAACCTGACTGAAAACAACCTTTCAGACACCAAAGGAAATTTATAAAGTTGCTAAGTCATGTCTGACTCTTGCAACTCCACGGCCTGTAGCGCACCAGGCTCCTGTTTAGGGGATTCCTTGATTAGGAAGTTACAAAATATTTTTGTACACTATTTATTTATGGCATAAAAATCTGTGTTAGAAGAAAACTGGGGATCAGAGCAGCTCCAGGGAGGCCATGGTGCCGTGCCTGGTAAAAGTGGGTCATCTACACTGGCATTTCCGGGCTTACGACAGTACCTTTCACTTTCAGAGCGGAGGTGGACAGCTTCTCTCCCTCAGGTTTCAGGGTCGGGGGCCTGTTGTGGACGAGCTTCCACCATCCTGGTTCTCCGAACTCCTGAGCTCCCGAGCGGAAGTACATGGGGCTCCCCACGCTGAGGCAGCCGGCGACCGTGCTCCACCAGGTGGAGGTCTTCTTCCTGACAGCCCAGGGATTTAAAAATTACTGGTTTTACAGCTCTCTCCTTACCTAGAGAGTCTCTGCCTCCAGGTCTGGGATGGGCTATGGAGCCTGCCTCTTGGAAGGAACAGAGTTCCTCAGGTAAGGGAGAGGCACAGGGGGCTGTATGGCTTCAAATCCCGTCTCCACCACCCCTTCTATTAACAGCTGCCTCAGGTTCCTCATCTTTAAAATCAGGATAATAAAACTTGCAAGGCTGATGAGGGGATTAATGACATAAAACAGAGCTCATAAAACACTTCTTATCAGAATCCACATGATTACAGAGTTCCAGTTGGGAAGATCCCCTAGAGCAGGGAATGGCAACCCACTCCAGCCTTCTTGCTTGGGAAATCCTGGCAGGCTACAGTCTATGGAGTCTCACACAACTTAGCAACTAGACAACAACAACAGGCTAATTTTATTTAAGTTGAGCTGCTTTTATGTATGGGGAGAGAGCAAAAAGTGAAAGTGAAGTTGCTCAGTCGTGTCCAACTCTTTGAGACCCCGTGGACTGTAGCCCACCAGGCTCCTCCGTCCATGGGATTCTCCAGGCAAGAATACTGGAGTGGGTTGCTATTTCCTTCTCCAGGGGATCTTCCGGACCCAGGGATTGAACCCAGGTCCCCCACATTGCAGGCAGACACTTTAACCTCTGAGCCACCAGGGGGAAATGGCAACCCACTCCAGTATTCTTACCTGGAGCATCCCATGGACAGAGGAACCTGGTGGGCTACTGTCCATGGGGTCGCAGAGAGTCAGACACGACTGAGGCAACTTAGCATGCATGGGAGAAGAATCTGCCTGCCAATGCAGCAGACGCAGACTGGATCCCTGGGTCAGGAAGACCCCCTGGAGTAGGAAATGGCAACCCACCCCAGCATGCTTGCTGGGAAATCCTGGTGGACTACAGTCTGTGGGGTCACATAGAATCGGACATGACTGAGCATGCACAGCACACAAAATGTCAACTATTCAGGTTCCTGTAAAAAAACTGGTCTATTATTTAAGGAAAGTGTTCTATTTCCACCTCGAAAACATAAACCAATGACCAGAAATCCTGGAGAATCGTCTTTCATACAAAGGCCAGTCTAACAGATGGAAAATATTGCTGAAAAAGCAAAGGAGAAAGGTATCCTTAAGAACAGAGATATACTAGACAAATACAAACCAGAAGAACCTCACAAAAAACAAAAAGACTGTAAAGGGCCTAAGCACTGAGATGGGAGAATGACCCCTAGCCTCTGGCCCCAGAGTACCTCTCTTCTGCCACCATCTCACATGGTTTTCAATCTTCCAGAGCTCTGGCCCCACAGCCCAGAGGTCTGACCAGGGCAACCCACTCCACAGGTCTCTGGAGCTCTGTTCACTTTTCTTCCCATTGTCCTATTTGGCTACAAATCCCTCTAGTGAATTTCCCATTTCAGTTATTGTACTTCTCAGCTCCAGAACTTCTTTTTTATTTACTTAGGTTTTCTATCTCTTTGATGATATTTCTGTTTCATTCATACTTTGCTGCCTGATGTTTCCCACCTCTTCCTTTAGCTCTCTGGGCATCTCTAAGCTGTTCTAAAGTCTCTGACTAGTATGACAAAAACCACTACAATATTGTAAAGTAATTAGCCTCCAACTAATAAAAATAAATGAAAAAAAAAATAAAGTCTCTGACTAGTAAATCCACTATTAGGTCCTTCTTCAGGGACAGTTTCGGGTTAGTTTATTTTCTCCCTTCAAATGGGTCATACTTTCTGGTTTTCTGTATTCCTTGGGGTTTGTCTGTTGAAAACAAACATGGGACATTTGGACGTCAGTCCTTCCTCTTTTCCCAGGGTTCACTGGACATGATGGCTGCAGGCTGTCTCTGTGCCAGAGATCAGCTGGACCGAAAACTCAAGGTCCTCTTGGCTCATGTCTAAGCCTGTGCCTTCCCCCGGGCATGCATGGAGACTAATCGCCCCTGTATAGGCGGTTGATTTCGAACATCTGCAGTCTTCAATGTCTGGTTCCAAAAGAGGGACAAAGAGGAAAGTGAAAGTGGGGAAGAAGGTGCCAGCGCTTAAGTTCCTTTAAAGTCAATCCAGCCAGAGGGGCAGGGCCTGCAACAGTGTGGGGAGGTGCAATGACAAAGGCTGCCTATCCCCTTGTCAGCACTTCTGTGATCAGAAGCAGCAGCGGGAGATCAGAGCACAAATATGATTGGAGGACACGGTCCTATGTGTCTACCCAGACCCCACACTGTGCCAAGCTGCTCCCGGAAGGTGTGTGTGGGTGTCTGTCATGGGGCTGAAGGGTGTGAGGTCATTAGACACTACTGTAATCAGAGCTAAAACTGACCAAATGGACTGTAATTTATGGTTCAGCTTCTTCCAGAGGATAATCCACCAAGTAGAACAGCACTGACCATGAAAACCTGCCAAGATCTAATTTTATCAGTTTTTTTCCCCTTCCTTGCCTCTTATAAATGGGGTGTATTAAGTTCCATAAATAGAGACCTAAATCATTAAACTAAGACAACAGATTTCCTTTCCTTAAGAAAAAGAACCAGTTAAACTGTCAATTCTTTTCTTATGCCACTAAATATCTCCAGAAGAAAAATAGCTCCTTTTGTAAAAAGGCACCAAATCTATTTCTCCTCATGGCAGCCTGCAGACGGTCACCCCTCCCCGATTCTGCAGCAACTACGGCATAGCTATGACTTCTCAGCACCTGAGGACACAGGCGAGGACAGGCACAAACTCCCCGTGCCCACCTTTTATCGTGTCCATATAGACCCAATTCTGCAGGTTTCATGCATCTCACCCAGGACTTCAGAAGGCAGCTCACAATCACAGTCTCAAACAATCTGCCAATGCAACTGCCAACTTGCTAAACCCCTGAGAGCAATGAAAATCTTGCTTAATGCACATGTACCTTCAGCTTCAATGTCTGGTCTGGATGTCTGTGGCCCAGCATCCCTATATCTTATGACCCAAGGAGCGGGTCACAAAGGAGGCGCAAACTCAAAGCATCATGATGAAAAAGTAACGAATGTGGAATAAGAAATGGCAATCCACTCCAGTATTCTCCCCTGGAAAATTCCATGGACAGAGGAGCCTGGCTGGCTACAGTCCATCGGGTCACAGAGAGTCAGACATGACTGAGCAACTGAGCACCCAAAACATATTGCTTAGAACATATAGGTACCATCTTGCAGGGAATGCAATATACTTCATATTAAGTCAGATTTCCAAAGTGTCTGAATCTATTTTTTTTAACTTTTTATTTTATATTTGAGTACAGTTGATTAACAATGTTGTATTAATTTCAGGTATACAGTAATGTGATTCAGTTATGCATATACATTTATCTATTCTTTTTCAAATTCTTTTCCCAACTAGGTTGTTATAGAATATTGAGCAGTTTCCTGTGCTATACAGCAGTAGGTCCTTATCACTTATCCATTTTAAAAATAGCAATATGGAGCCTCCCTGATAGCTCAGTGATGAGGAATCCACCTGGCAATGCAGGAGGTACGGGTTCCATCTCTGGTCCAGGAAGGTCCCCCCTAACAAAGCAACTAAGTTCATGTGCCAAGACTACTGAGCCTATGCTCTAGAATCCAGGAACCACAACTACTGAAGCCTGTGTGCCCTAAAGCCTGTGCTTCGCAGCAAGAGAAGCCACCACAATGAGAAGCCTAGGCATTGAAACTAGAGAATAGCCCCTGCTCACTGCAAGGGGACTTTCTCACTAAAGAAAGTCTATGCAGCAATAAAGACCCAGCATAGCCAAAAATAATAAACAAATAAGTACAATTTTTAAAAAAAGACTAACAAATGAATAAAGCACATGCATGTGAATCTTCCCAGACCTGGCAAAGTGTTATGAATGCCAAAAAGGACACAACGGTTTCTACCTTCCAGAGGTAATAAAGACAAACACTAGTAATTAACCAAGAGCAACTTCAATGAGTCCAGTCAATAACTGACATTATTTCTCTTCTTCTGACCTCCTATAAGGCACTGATTCTAAAAGGACATAATAGTCCTCTGTCCTCAAATTAGTCACCTACCCAGCTATTAAACCCAGCCTCATTTAATCAAACTCTGTTTTTCAACAGTCTAAGAATCTGTTCAAACATCTTTCTGCTCAGTAGAAACCAGCAGTTTCCCCCGGATGTAGGGTAAGAAGTATGGAAACCTACACTTATATCTATGCTGGTAATTATACCCACCTCTGCTGAGATTGTTAACTTAAAGTGAAATCATCTTCTGGATTAAAAAATTCTTAGGAACTGCCGCAAGTGTATACGCTAAAGCTCTAAAGGCTTGCATTAAACTGTCTTAAGTTGCATGTATTTTGTTCTTTACATCTTCATTCAAGGATAAGACTTTTAAAAGTCACATTACCTATTTCCTAGTAGAAAAGTCCAGTGTTTCTCGATAAAAGCGCAGATATCTTCCTTCCACCGGAAATAGCCCTGCCTCCCGCTGCCTTCCAGGGACAAGTTGTACATCGCCAGCACGACCACCTAGAACATGAGTGCACAGGTTGGGAGAAAAAAACACCAACAGGAGGAACGTTTGCTGTCTGAGTGGGCATCAGGAGAGGGGAAGGATAATACCCTGGAGCATCTTCAGTACAGAGTTCTACTTCCTGTTTGCCTTCCACAGATGAGCATCACTGAGCCTTGTAATCATGTGCACTTGCTCCTCACATGTCACCACAATGAGGCTACTGTGTGGCTGAGCTGGTGACGAGTAATGACTGTCCTAAGCACCCCCATCCCTACCCCCTCCATCACGCAAAGGCAGCACTAAATACCATGTTAACCACAGGCATCAGGAGGCCTCAGGGCCTGCTCCAGCTGGCGTTGCTGATGGATAGTGCTGACCTTTACTAAATATTCTGAGCATCATCCCTGCACATACACTTTCTAAGCCTTTCAGAGGCAGAAACAAGAGACTATCAGAATTTCAGAGCTGAAGACAAAGTGAGGGACCATCTACTCTGGGTTTAGCCTTTCTCAGCCATGGCCAACTCCTCCTGAGATGAAACTGGTATGGACAAGGGGCAGAGACCTGACAGGCCTGGCTGCCCTGCTTATCCTCAGAAAGCACGACACCCCCAGCTCTACCACATTGGGCCCAACTGCGTATTTCACAGGTAATGCATTCACAGCCCCAAATGGGAAAGTACTTTCCAGAAATATAAATAACACACTGTATAAAAAAGAACAAAGAAGGAAGTAAAAATCATTTTAAATCCACCATCAAGAAATAATCCTTTTTAACATTTTCAGTGACTGTCCTTTCAGACATTTCTCTTCTCATCTAAAGAAAGTTTTATAGTCATATATGGACAAGAAACTATACATGCTATTCAAAACCATGTTTTCATCCTTATAAAAATAATGATTAAGTTTGGGCCAATGAAACTGAAAAGGGGACAGAGAATCTAAGATGAGAATCCTTCCATAATTCCAAATCTGCCTATGTGTGCACACATCAGAATAATGCTAGTATTAATCTGATCTTGCCAAGACAAAGTAGTCCATGTATGCTTTGAAAAAAAAAATCCCAGTTAGAATATTCATTAGACTGTAAACATCCTCAGTACAAGCTTCATTTTCTACTCACATATTGTCAGGCAAGTCAAAAAAGGCTCCCTAAAACCACCACTGACAGATTTCATTAGATGTCCTAATAAAACCAACGATAATTAAGGTGACAGCCCCAAGCTGCAAACACAACTACAATCTTTAAGGCCACTCTAAGTGACTTAGAGGGTATAACATAAAATCACCTTCTCATTATCCTGTTTATTTCCTCTCATAGTAAAAAGTGCTAGGGATAACTGACCTATGTATTTGTCTCCTTATCATCTAAAATAAATGTCCAGAAAGTCAGCTGCCTGGGGCTGGGGTCTTGGCTGTCTCATTCACCATAGAAAAGAAAGAGCTGGATGAGAATAAACTGGTCTTGACTAGACTCTGCTCTCCAGGCCTAGAATAGTGCCTGGTGCACTGTACGCACTCAGTATTTGTTAAAAGAATAAACCTAACAACTGAGTGAAAGTGGAAGTCACTCAGTCCTGTCTGACTCTTTGCGATCCCATAGACTATGCCGCCCACGGAATTCTCCAGGCCAGAATACTGGAGTAGATAGCCTTTCCCTCCTCCAGGGGATCTTCCCAACCCAGGGATCAAACCCAGGTCTCCCGCATTGCAGGCGGATTCTTCACCAGCTGAGCCATGAGTAAGTGATGTCTAATTCATTATTTTTAGAACTTAAAAGGCTGCATATACCATTGGTGTCTTGCTATAAACATATTAATATAAAAACATCCCCCCCGCCCCCCAAAATTAACGCAACCTGGAGACCAGTTAAAAGATACTATTCAGGCTATAGCTGGGCAGGGTTAGGTTGGCCAACTTTTTTTTTAATTGAAGCACAGTTGCTTTACAATATTGTGTTGTTTTCAGGTGTACAGTATAGTGATTCACCATCTTCACATTTTTTAGAATGGTTTTATTTTTCTAAAAACAGCTGCCAGAAAAATGTGAACCTCTTCAACTAAAATCAGAATTTGGTATTATATATAAATGGTGTGGGTGAGAGTTTCAAGAAACTCAAACCCAGTGTGCTAAGTCGGCAGTGAGTAGTTTTACTAAGAACTCTTTTCTCCACATATTCAGTATGATTTTCATTGTGAAATAAAGTGACCCTCAAAACAACTCAAAAGTTCATATATAAGGTCCTCATTCTCTAGACACTAACTCCAATAAATCTGGGGCAGACCAACCTCACAAACTCTAGAAGGAAGAGCTTTTACTCACTTGCTGCCATGTCAGCTTCAGCCTCTCATACTGCTCCTTACCATCTTCTGAGCAATCAGAACAGGTAAACCTAAAAAAATTATCACCCTTAAGGTAACTGAGCTGTTCCCTCAGCTGACCTAGGAGGAAAACAAAAAGGTGCATCACTATAACAAAGGTAACCAAAGGTTTAATCAGTTTACCAACCATTTCCCAAGTTTCCCAGGCTGTCTTCCATTTTTCTTTCAGCCAACCCAAGTCAGCAGGTTATTCTTCTAACATCAAGTGCATGCCCAGTAAGATAGATCCGTGGTTCCCTGACTTTCAGAAAAAAGACACTGGGAAGACAGGTAGGGTTGTCCTCACTGGCTGTTCCAACTGTTAACATTGCTGACTCCTACAGGAGGTCTCCTCACATATCCTGCAAGAAATATCTGAGCTCCCACTGCGCCACTGGGCTAGGAACTGGGAACAGGATGCCCAGGGCAGACGTGCTGAGCGCCCTCAGAGGCTTACAGCTGTTTCGAGGGGCACAGGGGTGCAAGCAGGTTAACAGCATCACAGCGGCTCTCCATCCTGTGTATCAGAACCACCCAAGAAGCTGTTTGTTTTAATATGCCTGGGCTTGTCCCACACATAGTTAATCAACCTCTAGATGCAGGGCATTTTCTGAAGTTCCCCAGGGGATGCTGAAGCTCTGGGAGACATGAAGACCCCTGGAGTGGAATGTGATGGGCTCAGCAGGGCAACGTGAGGGCACTTAAAAGAAATGCCAACCTACACTAGGAAGACAGGAAAACTGGAAAAAGTAGGGGCACTGGGGACTGAAGGATGGTTAGAATTGGCAGGTGAAAAAAGGTGCTGGGGGTGTGAGAATAGAGGTTGCAAAGACACATGTTCCACAAAGGAAATTTATATGTGCAAAGTCCCAGGGAGAAGAAAGACCCACTTGTGGAGAATGAAAAGCTCACCCTGGCTACAGAGCTCTGTGGGGATTATCTGTGGGGAGAGGAGGACATGAAGGAGAGGCTGGAGCATTTGCTGGTGCGCAGCAGGAAGGGTGGTTTACAGTGTAGGCTGTGAGGACAGGGGAGAGCCACCCAGGTCACCCAGCCATCCAGAACCCTGAATCTACAAGCAGAGACAGCTTAAGAGCAAAAACTAGCTAGTGCGTGCAAACGTGCGTGTGTGTGTGTGCACACTCGCTCATATGTACTCAGTCGTGTCCGACTCTTTGTGACTTCACAGGCTGTAGCCTATCAGGCTCCTCTGTCCATGGTATCTTCCAGGCAAGATAACTAGAATGGGCTGCCACTTCCTACTCCAGGGGATCTACCTGAACTAGGGATTGAACCCGTGTCTCCTGCACTGGCAGGTGGATTCTTTACTCCTGAGCCACCTGGGAAGCCCCCAAGACTAGCTTATAGGTAGTAAATTTTAGGTTTGCTTTCTGTGAAAATGGTGTCACTTTATTAGAATCTGAATAGCTGAATCCATCTTAAAAACATCTCCACATACCAGAAAATGACCCAGTTCACAACAAAAAATAAACATACACACACATATCTAAATTTCTCACATATCTAAATTTCTCTGACCTGGTTACAGGTTCCATTACACAGAGTAGTCCTCCAACACATGTGTCTTTACAGTCTCCATCTAATGGAAAAGCCCTGCTTTGGTAGCAGCCCTGATGCCTGGCAAAAGACCTCCTGGTGTGTGTGTGTTTATCTACTGCCAGCAGATCAAGGAGGCCAGCAAGTAGAAAACACTAGAAACAGGCGCAACACATTTCTAATCTGCTAATTCCTTATATCAGCAAACTATCGCAGCTGTTTTCCATGTAAGTTAAATATTACCCGAGTTATAAGTCTGAACTTCAGCTCTACGCTGGGCCTAGAATTTGTCTGCAAATCCATAGTAATGTAACCCTGATAGAAAAATGCAGCTGATTCTTTAAGTCACACAGAATTTCTAATTTTTATTGGGTGGCAATCAAGAACGTTAATTTAACAACGTGATAGAGGTTAGCAGTCATGTTTATTAGGACAAATGTATCTATGTTTTATATAAACCTTCAGTTAAGCAACTAAACTAGTAATAAATGTAAGAGTTATCTTTTTATTTAGATCTACTTCACATTCCTGTTTCTTTCACAGGTTAGGAAAACACATCTTCCCATAGGAACTGATAGAGCAAAGGAAAGGAGAAGCTCCTTACTGGCCGGGATCCACTTCTGGCACTTGTCGCAGAAGTAGGACAGATGCTCCTCCATCCACGACACGTCCCCTTCATCACTGTTGAGGGAGTCCCCGCTCTGGTCGTGAGACAAGTCCACGGATGCCTGGTCCTCTGACTCCACAATCAGCAGGGTCTCCCCCTCCACCTCCCCCTCCTCCAGCCCCTCTGACGTTGATGTTCTCGTGGCTTCATCGTCGTGCCGACTGATCAAACCGCTCAGGTGGATGCTACCCTCCATTCCTCCCGGCTCACAGGGTCAGGGTTCTCAGGAACAACCCCAATCCCTGGACACCAAGCTTGAAGGGCTCCTCGCTGACCACACAAACAGAAACTCTCACAAGAATGTCTGCCCACCCCTACTCAGACACAAGGGGCTCTAAAGACAGTATTTAGAATATATGAGCCATTGTCCTTTTTCTGACCAAGTTTAAAAGGTCAGTGAGCAAAAAAGCTTTCACTAAGCTGTTCTCCATCAACACACACATTGAATGCTGTCTCTTTCATCAATACTTCACACACACTTCAAGTCACGTTTCTTGAGATCCCTTTGCCAACACCATTTTCTCTCTTTCTGCTTCAAGCTGCTCAGTCAGAAGAATCTGTTCTCCCAAAAGACGAATATTTTCTTTTTTCCGATTTTGTCTTTCAATGTCTCTGATCACTCCATCACGAAGCCTCTAAAAATGTAAGAAAGAGATTTCAGTAAAACTGGAACAGGCAGTTCCCATCCTTGCATCATTCAAATCTAAAACACAGTTTAGATATACTTAAAACTTTTAGATTCCAACTACCCAATTACTATTTTAATTTACTGTATAAACGTAATAAAGAAACCATAAAATTAACTTGGTAGAGTGCCATAGTATTATTACAGACTTCTTATCGTCTTTGAGGAAATTCCACATTGTTTGATACAAATATGGTAAATAACAATTAAAAATAAAAAACTGGGGCTTCTGTTGGTGGTCCAGTGAGTAAGAATCCTCCTGCCAATGCAGGGGACACAGATTTGATCCCTGCTTCTGCTGGGAAGAGTCCCCATGCTTCAGGGCAACACTAAGTCTGTGTACCACTATTTAGCAGATGAGCCTCAACGCCCTGGAGTCTGTACTCCACCACAGTGAAAAGCCTGAGCACTGCAACCTGCAATGAAGAGTAGCCTCCATGCCCTGAAATCAGAGGAAGCCCGAGCACAGCAGCAATGACCCAGCACAGCCAAACTTAAATCTCCTTAAAAAAAAAAAAAGCTGCCACTGTGCTCAATTTTAGTTTAGTTGATATATGATACTTCAAAATTTGAGAGCAATGGAAAAAATAAATAAAACAAAAAAGTGAAAAACAAACAAAAAACAGAAGAGAAAAAAAGAAAGACCTAAATAAAAATTTGAGGAGGGAATTCCCTGGTGGTCCAGTGGTTAAGAATCTGCGCTTCCACTGGTTGGGGAACAAAGACCCTGCAGAGGCCACCTATGTCCCCCGCCCCCTCAAAAAAAACCTTGATGAGAGTTAAAGTAACTGTGAACTACATTCCTGTTAGCAACTGTCTTAGCTGAATAATAAATAGCATAGAAAAAAAGCACTAAAATTTGAACAAAGTGTAAGGATGCGAGAAAGTAAAGAACCTGACTTGTTCTATTATGTAAAGAGAATAAGTAAAAATTACACAGAATTACCATCAACTACCTAAAGGGCAGAGAAGGGGAAAAAAAGAAAGCCATCACCAGAGGAAAAACAAAGGCCCAGCAATGGCAGTTACTTTCACAAACACTAACGACAGAAGATTCCAGCCAGAATATGAATGTGGCATCTAAGATGACTTTCTAAAGCATCAATCCAGTCATTACTAATAACTAACATTTTATAGTTTACAGGTCATTAAATACTCTGATGACAGTGGCCTGTGAGGCAGAATAACGGGAGCAGGGCATAGGACCTGGGTATGTTTTTTTGTTTTTGTTTTTTTAATTTTAAACCAGACCTCTTTCAAATAAACTACCAGAGAAGTATCTCCATCTGCAAGGCCAGCCTGCAATTCATCAACAAGCACCAAGTTACAGATCAGCTTGTCTTTGGTTTTTCAATTTACTATTATGTCTACCTTAACAACTCACCAAATACCATGGTGCTGGCCCTCCTCCAGGCCTGGAGCCTCAGTTCCCATTATCAGGGAGCTGGGAAATTTAAGAGTCCTGGGACTGATAACACAACTGAAACCCATTTGTCTTGAACCCTGCGCTCAGGGCCAGATCTCCAGACAGAATCGGAAGCTCTCACTCGACTCTTCCCTCCCCAGCTCCTGTCCTATGTGCCTTCCGGCAGGACACATTTACACACCCCACCCAACTCCTGAAGCCCACACCTTCCACACCTACTCTGAGGTCCTCCCTTCCTTTCTCAGACTTTGGCACGTGGCTTGGGTTCTTGTTCTCCATCCATCATTTGCTAGTTCCCCCCCAAGTTTCAAGATCTGTGCCAACTGCCTGGCACACCCTTCCTGGGAATTCCGGTTGACAACTGTGCTGACCACCCAGACCTCTTCATTACCATAACTTACAGCTGGAAGTTGGCTCCTGGTGCAGTTCTTACTCCTCGGGTAGTACTGCCAGTTTTGGCTGGCTTCCTGTGAGGATGAATGCTCCCTACAGCGCCTCGTATGTGGTATACAGTCAGGAAACAATGAGGGACCACGCCAACGACTGGTTTATTTCTCACTTCCCTGAACCTTCCAACACACCCAACTATGTCAAATCACATGTCCTGTTTCCCAGGAAGTAAGCCACATGAATGACTGGAGGTACAACAAACACAGTTATTCTGGTCAACCTTCACCTCTAACTTCCAAATAGCTAAATCTTCCACTTTTCACATTCTAACATCGGTCTCAACCCTGGCTGCATGTTAGAACCCCTGAATTGCTTTTAAAACATACTTCAGCGGGATCCACACCCACAAGAGATTCTGATTTGACAGGTGTGGAGCAGGACCCAGGCGGTTTCACGGTATTAAAAAAACAACAACAAAGTTCCCAGGAACATTGGCACCTGTAGCTGGAGATCAGACCAAGCTTGCGCCCAGCCTTACTGTATACTCGGAAAAACCCCTGCTCCCTGACCTCAGAGCTACATTCAATACAGCATCCTCTACCCCCTTGTCGAATTTCCTCCCATCACCACCTTTTCCTTCTTAGAGAAGGAAGCCTCCTGCCTATGTTCAGAAAGCTACCCCCTTAGCTGTCTTAGTTGCTCAGTCGTGCAGGACTCTCTCTGCGACCCCATGGACTGTAGTCCCCCAGGCTCCTCTGTCCATGGAAATTCTCCAGGCCAGAATACCGGAGTGAGTTGCCATGCTCTCCTCCAGGGGATGTTCCCCACCCAGGGATGGAAACCAGGTCTCCCGCATTGCAGGCACATTCTTTACCCTCTGAGCCACCAGCTCTCACCTCCTCGGTGTCCTGTCATCGTTAACCATTCCATTCTCTCCGCTAAATCCCTATACCACCGTCGGCTTCGTCTCCTGATTTCCTCCAGAGCGTGAAACAGGACAGAGGCCTCGCCGGCAGCATCTCCGCACCACCAGCACACGCACCGACCTCCCCCTCCCCCCCCGCTGCCTGGGCCCACACCGGGCGACCCGGGCTCCGCCGCCCCCCGCCCCTCCCGGCGCTCGACCCTCAGGCCCACGACCAATTGTGCTTCCTCTTCTTTCTTTCCTACGAGCTCGGGGCCAAGGCTTGCGCCCGGGAGTCACGCTGACCGATTGGGAAAAGGAAGACGCGGGAGCTGAGAGACACAGCGCGAACTGTCCGCCTCCCGCGCTCCGACCCCGGCGGGCCGGGGGCCGGGGTGGGGGGGCGTCTCTGAGCCCAGTGTACCCGGGGACTACCCCCTCACCCCCAGGACCGTTCCTCCCAAGGGCGGGGTGGGGGGAGGGGTCCCCGGCCCCGGAGGAGGGAGGAAAGGTGAGGAAATGAGGCGCCACACGGAGCTAGGCCCCAGACCCGAACCGCGCGGGCCCGGGACACCGACCTGCCGGTCCTGGCGCTGCTTCAGATGCACGCCCGCCACGGTGGCAGCCGTCAGCAGCACCGAGAGGCCCAACACCACCTTGGAGCGCCTCGACATCCCCCGCGCCTGCCTGCCTGCCGGCCGCGGCCTCCGCTCACAGCGCCTGAGACCTGGGGCCGCCGCCGCCGAGTGCGCGCCGCCGCCGAGTGCGCGTCGCCGCCCGGGGCGGGGCCAGGCGCGATGCCTCGAGCGCAGAGCCCGGCCGCTGCAAGGCGCGGGGAGTCGAGCGCCGAGCTCCTCCCTTACTCCGCAGGAGAGCCTGACTTCTGGCGGGACCTGGGGAGGACCCGAGTGACCAGATGGTCTCCTTGTCCTGCGGGCTGGAAAGGGGCCACTTCCAAGAGCCCCCGCCCAGAGCTGGCCCCGGCATCACTACCCGGGACAGGGTTTGGAGGCCTGAGCCCCTTCCTCTCATCCGCCGTCCTCTGCGGCGGGAGTGTCGGGAGGCGGGATTCCTTCCCAGCTTGAGTACCTTGTGGACCCTCCGCCGCGCGCGTCCCGTCGGAGCGCGGGGCGCTGCCACGCCACCATCCCAAAACGCAGCACTCGTTGCCCCTTGGCGGGGGAGGGCACCAGGAGAGGGAGTTTTTCTGGTGAGACGTGGCAGACGTCCACCTGCTTCCACCTTGACGCGGTGGGAGGGCGAGGCAGGGTCTGGTTTTTCTTGACGTCGTCGTCGGGAAACCTTCTGGCTGCAGAGCCAGCTCTTCAGGCAGCGGTACCTCTCCTGCTGGTACGAAAGACGCTGTCATCTTGTCTCCAGGTAACCCTTGGGACATCCCGTCTACACCAGTTTCGGCGTTCAGGTGCCCGCGTTACTCAGTTCAGTTCAGTTGCTGACTCTTTGCGATCCCATGGACTACAGCACGCCAGGCTTCCCTGTCCATCACCAACTCCCGGAGTTTACTCAAACTCATGTCCATTGCGGAGAAGACAATGGCAGAGAAGACAACGGCAACCCACTCCAGAGAAGACAATGGCAACCCACTCCAGAGAAGCTTGGTAGGCTGCAGTCCATGGGGTCGCTAAGAGTCGGACACGACTGAGCGACTTCACTTTCACTTTTCACTATCATTCACTGGAGAAGGAAATGGCAACCCACTCCAGTGTTCTTGCCTGGAGAATCCCAGGGACGGGGGAGCCTCGTGGGCTGCCATCTATGGGGTCGCACAGAGTCGGACATGACTGAAGTGACTTAGCAGCAGCAGCAGTATGTCCATTGAGTCGGCGATGCCATCCAACCATCTCATCCTCTGTCGTCCCCTTCTCCTCCCGCCTTCAATCTTTCCCAGCATTAGGGTCTTTTCCAATGAGTCAGTTCTTCACATCAGGTGGCCAGAGTATTGGAGTTTGAACTTTAGCATCAGTCCTTCCAATGAATATTCAGAGTCTGGTTTTTCTTGATGTGGTCGGAAAACCTTCTGGCTGCAGGGCAAGCTCTCCAGGCAGCAGTTCCTCTCCTGCTGTTATGAAAGACACTGCCACTTTGTCTCCAGGTAACCCTTGAGACATCCTGTCTACACCGGTTTCCACATTCAGGTGCCCGCGTTACTAGGGTCAGAAATGATGGAGTGAAGTGGAGAACTGAGAAGCTCACCGAAGAAGATACTATGCCCAGCTCACACAGACAATGGGCTTTCCAAGGAAGAGAGAGGTATTATGATCAAGAAACGGTTGGATGGCATCACGGACCCAATGGACATGAGTTTGAGCAAACTTCAGGAGATAGTGAAGGACAGAGAAGTCTGGCATACTACCGTCTATGGAATCGCAAAGAGTCGGAGGCAACTTAGCGACTGAACACAATATTTTTTCTGACTGGAATTCCCGAAGGACAGATTTCCTCCTGTGCAAACAACTGTGGACACTGTTGATTTGGGCTGAGTCTCACCCTGAGCTTTCTTCCATCTTGATCTCTGTAGTGCTTTGCTATTCCAGGGTCTGTTGTGCAGAGTGTCAGTTGCTTAAAGTGAATGCTGCTCTCCAGAAATGTAATGAGATAAAAATAACTTTTAAAGTGATAATACCCTTTTCAAATATTTCATCTGCAGCATTTTTCTCTGCAGAGGAGGAAGTACCATTGAGTTGGAGAATAAGGTCCCTGTGCTGACCTTGGAATTAGAAGCAGTTTAATTCAGGGCATATTTGGCTGTTTCTCTAAAGAAAAAAAAAGGTATATTAGACTACTTTTTACTTGCGGTAGACTCCAGATATTTTCTCCCTCTTAGTTAGTGAGCCTTCAGTAAAGCTGCATGTCTTAGAATGTATGTCAGAGTGAGATGGTCTCTCATTCTACCATGACTGATTTTTCAGCTTGTCTTTTTGAAATGGATTGTTATTCTGCTTTTCAAAAGTCCCTCATGGGGATTCACTGGCTGTTCAGGAGTTAGGACTCTGTGCTTTCACTTCCATGTCCCAGTTCCTTAAGATCCCTCAAGCCTTAAGGTGTGGCCTCCCACAGCAATCAGGGCAGAAAAAGAAATAAAAGGAATCCAGATAGGAAAAGAAGAAGTGAAACTCTCTCTGTTTGCAGATGACATGATCCTCTACATAGAAAACCCTAAAGACTCTACCAGAAAATTACTAGAGCTAATCAACGAATACAGTAAAGTTGCAGGATATAAAATTAACACACAGAAATCTCCTGCATTCCTATACACTAACAATGAGAAAACAGAAAGAGAAATTAAGGAAACAATACCATTCACCATTGCAACAAAAAGAATAAAATACTTAGGAGTATATCTACCTAAACAAACAAAAGACCTATACATAGAAAACTATAAAACACTGATGAAAGAAATCAAAGAGGACACAAACAGATGGAGAAATATACCATGTTCATGGATTGGAAGAATCAATATTGTCAAAATGGCTATACTACCCAAAGCAATCTATAGATTCAATGCAATCCCTATCAAACTACCAACGGTATTTTTCACAGAACTAGAAAAAATAATTTCACAATTTGTATGGAAATACAAAAAACCTCAAGTAGCCAAAGTAACCTTGAGAAAGAAGAATGGAACTGGAGGAATCAACCTGCCTGACTTCAGACTATACTACAAAGCCATAGTCATCAAGACAGTATGGTACTGGCACAAAGACAGAAATATAGATCAATGGAACAGAATAGAAAGCCCAGAGATAAATCCACGTACCTATGGTCACCTTATCTTCGACAAAGGAGGCAAGGATATACAATGGAAAAAAGACAACCTCTTTAACAAGTGGTGCTGGGAAAACTGGTCAACCACCTGTAAAAGAATGAAACTAGAACACTTTCTAACACCATACACAAAAATAAACTCAAAATGGATTAAAGATCTAAATGTAAGACCAGAAACTATAAAACTCCTAGAGGAGAACATAGGCAAAACACTCTCCGACATAAATCACAGCAGGATCCTCTATGACCCACCTCCCAGAATTTTAGAAACAAAAGCAAAAATAAACAAATGGGACCTAATGAAACTTAAAAGCTTTTGCACAACAAAGGAAACTATAAGCAAGGTGAAAAGACAGCCCTCAGATTGGGAGAAAATAATAGCAAATGAAGCAACAGACAAAGGATTAATCTCAAAAATATACAAGCAACTCCTCCAGCTCAACTCCAGAAAAATAAATGACCCAATCAAAAAATGGGCCAAAGAACTAAATAGACATTTCTCCAAGGAAGACATACAGATGGCACAAAAACACATGAAAAGATGCTCAACATCACTCATTATCAGAGAAATGCAAATCAAAACCACAATGAGGTACCATTACACGCCAGTCAGGATGGCTGCTATCCAAAAGTCTACAAGCAATAAATGCTGGAGAGGGTGTGGAGAAAAGGGAACCCTCTTACACTGTTGGTGGGAATGCAAATTAGTACAGCCACTATGGAAAACAGTGTGGAGATTTCTTAAAAAGCTGGAAATAGAACTGCCATATGACCCAGCAATCCCACTTCTGGGCATACACACCGAGGAAACCAGATCTGAAAGAGACACGTGCACCCCAATGTTCATCGCAGCACTGTTTATAATAGCCAGGACATGGAAGCAACCTAGATGCCCAACAGCAGACAAATGGATGAGGAAACTGTGATACATATACACCATGGAATATTACTCAGCCATTAAAAAGAATTCATTTGAATCAGTTCTAATGAGATGGATGAAACTGGAGCCCATTATACAGAGCGAAGTAAGCCAGAAAGATAAAGACCATTACAGTATACTAACACATATATATGGAATTTAGAAAGATGGTAACGATAATCCTATATGCAAAACAGAAAAAGAGACTCAGATGTATAGAACAGACTTGTGGACTCTGGGAGGAGGCGAGGGTGGGATGTTTCAAGAGAACAGCATCGAAACATGTATATTATCTAGGGTGAAACAGATCACCAGCCCAGGTTGGGTGCATGAGACAAGTGCTCGGGCCTGGTGCACTGGGAAGACCCAGAGGGATAGGGCGGAGAGAGAGGTGGGGGGGGGGGGGCCGGGATGGGGAATACATGTAAATCCATGGCTAATTCATTTCAATGTATGACAAAACCCACTGCAATGATGTAAAGTAATTAGCCTCCAACTAATAAAAATAAATGGAAAAAAAAAAAAAAGGTGTGGCCTCCCCCTCACAAAATATACCGTATGAGTTAATAGTGTCAAATTCAGAAATGGATTATCTGTTTGTTTATATGTTTATTTATCTGCAACTAAGACCCAATATAGCCAAATTAAAAAATAAAAATACTAAAAAAAATCATCCCCTTTTAAAAAAAGAGGGGATATATTTTAAGGTATGCTAATTATGGAAGGAAAGTTATGACCAACCTAGACAGCATATTAAAAAGCAGAGACATTAAAAAAAAAAAAAAGCAGAGACATTACTTTGTCAACAAAGGTCCGTCTAGTCAAGGCTATGGTTTTTCCAGTGGTCATGTATAGATGTGAGAGTTGGACTATAAAGAATGCTGAGCACTGAAGAATTGATGCTTTTGAACTGTGGTGTTGGAGAAGACTCTTGAGAGTCCCTTGGACTGCAAGGAGATCCAACCAGTCCATCCTAAAGGAGATCAGTCCTGGGTGTTCATTAGAAGGACTCATGTTGAAGCTGAGACTCCAATACTTTGGCCACCTGATGCGAAGAGCTGACTCATTGGAAAAGACCCTGATGCTGGGAAAGATTAAGGGCAGGAGGAGAAGGGGATGACAGAGGATGAGATGGTTGGATGGCATCACCGACTCAATGGACATGAGTTTGAGTGGACTCCGGGAGTTGGTGATGGACAGGGAGGCCTGGCGTGCTGTGGTTCATGTGGTCTCAAAGAGCCGGACACGACTGAGTGACTGAACTGAACTTAATTATGAAAGTTATTAAAAGAAGGCAAAAAAATAAAGCTGTTTGTATGTATCAATTCATTTCATCTGCACAATAGGTGCTATATTTTTTTTAATAGGTGCTATTATTATGCCCATTTTACAAAGGAGGAAGGTAACTTGCCAGAGTCTACAGCCTGAAAGTTACAGAGCAACATAATTGGTTTTTAGTTTTGTTTTCAAAAGACATAAAAGATTAAACTCACCTGGTTTAAAAGTGAATTCACTTGGTTTAACGGAGAACTTTTACCTTGAGGCAATCAACAAGGAAAATGTGTATACGTAGACTTTCAATTCTGTATTTCAGGTACTTACAGAATGGGAGGAGTGGAAAGAAAGGGAGGCAGTTAAGGTTAGACACACAGGTGGGAGGAGAGAAAGAAACAAGAGAACAGGAAAGCAACAGACTCCCCGTAGGTTCTGAGGTCAGAGCATTGGCCTCTCAGGATGTTCATTTGGCCTCTGACAGCTACACCCTGTTCACATGGGCCTCGAGTTCAGTTTTCAAGTATCCCATTCCTCCCTTTGTGGGAGCCCTGCTGCCCTCTGGCAGGATGTTGTTCTCAGAAAGTGGCCTGAGTGAGTGAAGCTCTACGACAAAGGGCTTCTGGCTTCACTGGGGACAGTATCTAACCTCCGGGGGCCTCAGTTTCCCCCTCTGTACTGTGGGGACAGTGATGTGTCTGCTGCCCCCGGGCTTGCTGATTGAGATGACGAATTAGCAGCATGACTGCACCAAGTCAGGTATGTGGCAGTAATGCATGTCATGCTCTGGCCAGTAAGTCTTCAGGGATCCCCTAGGAATGGCTAGATGGGGACCCCCTCGGCCCTGAAGGGAGGGGGAATCCTTGTCTTCACAGCCTTGGGAGAAGTCTGTTCATTTGCAGCTCAGAGGGCCTTTCAGCAACATCCCAGCTGGAGGCAGCGCAAGCGTTCTCACCACATTTGCCCCAACCGTGATTCAAAATTCTTGGTGTGGCTGGCTGAGTTCCTTTGGATTCAAAATCCAGTCACGTTGTCAGAGAAAAATGTCAACCTTACCGGTTGTTAATGGAAGAAAGGAGCTGTTAGATCCTTTAAAGACAGGCATTTTCGACTGCCGTAAACTTATGAATCATTGTGAAAAAAATAATGGCT